AATGCTCCTATCAGTTTAAGAGATTGTTGAAATGTCATTTATTTTCAAACTAAAACATCTGTTGGTTTCGATATTGCATCAACCCATTGTGTGGTTTGATTTTAACTTACTGTTATATGTCCCAAGCCATTATGATTTGTGAACCATGTTTTGTGGTTTAGTATGTGACCCTAGCCAGTTTTGAATGACTTAACCTTGGTTAAGTCAATCATGGCTTGATACAACATATAAATCCAATATTACTCTTGAAAATCTGTTCATTAAAATGATGGACAACTACTTCATTTTCTAGATTAGATTGTTGCAGATACCTAGAAAAACGTTTCTGACAAACATCAGAAATCTGTGCTACTATATACTTGACATATAACTCCAAATTCTAAATAAGTTTTACATGCTGATTTTGGTCGAATAATACAACACTAAATTGATCCAAATAACATTTTAAACAATCTTCTACAAATATACTACCCAAATGTCCAAGGATAGCAAAGCTTTTGACTTATTAGGAAGAGGAATTGAGCAAATGGTTGCCCCAATGGGGGGCAGCATAAGGTTCAGTCCTCTTTTTCCTGTTATTTAACATATGAAACTGTTGGAAAATATTATCTGCAGTGAGGTATCATCAGGATGCTGTTGATTCTCAGTTGTACTTTGCCACTCCAGTCTCAGCCAGAGATGCTATGCAATTTGAGCCAATGCCTGGAGGCTATCGGGGACTTAATGGGGAGAAACAAGCTTAGACTAAACCCTAGCGCGATGGAATTGGTGGTCATCCATAAATGCCTAGGCTTTCCAGAAGCATTGATTCCAGGGTTTGCTCTTGATGGGAGTCACACTCCATCTGAAGGAGTAGGTGTACAGAATGGATTACCTACAGGGCAAAAGTGCTATTGCAGGATAATTCCTATTTTGCCATTGGCGTACTGGTTGCAGGTAAGCTGGGCCCAGTTCAAAATGCTGGCTATCACCTATTAAGCCATATTGGACATAACAATGAATCACGTTAGCGACCACCTTATCCAACATGATTCTGCCCACTGTGTGAGGGCACTACAGATGATCTACTCAAGGTTGTCCCTCAACAAGAGGTGAAGGGGGGGGGGGACCAGAAGACAGGCTTTCTCAGAATTTGCCTCCACACTATGGAATTTCCTTTCTACAGAGGTAGGTCTGGCTTCTGTTATGTTGCTGTTGTACAATGCCCAGAATCTCTGGGTTGCATAATATAAAAATTAGTGTAGTTAAAAAAAAAAAAAATGCTATTAAGGGCATGAGACCATATGAAGGAATGGGAAGGTAATGATATTCAATAAGGACACTGCTAAGCATGTACTTGCTTATAACAATAAATGTCAGGATAATATATATTAATATATTAATGTATATCCAATGAAACTCAGTCTTATATAAATGTATGTTCTTCCTACAGATGCAATGGTGGAAGACGTTGAAGAAATTTATGGCAAATGAAGTGCTAAATGAAAACATTCAGGAAAAGATGTAGTATTTCTAGTGAGTGATTTGAATGCAAAGGCTGAAGAAATGGAAGAACCTAGAATTACATAAATAATGCAGAAGTTTAGGTTAACAGAGTTTTATGAAGAGATTCTTTGTTAATTGCCAAAGAATTCTTTTGCTTCACACAAAATAAACAAGGACTCTACACATGGGCATCACAGCATAGATAACACTGGAATTAAACATATGATAGAAAACAGAAGATAAAGCCATGCTGGGGGATTCTGGGAGGTGAAGTCTTCACTTCTTCAAATTGCCAAGGTTGAGAAACACCGTTCCACTGGCATTTTCCTTACAATCTGCTTTTCTTCCTACAGATTCCGATTGTGGTGATGTTGGCTGGATGAGTCAGTGGCAAGTTTCAACTCTTCTGTTTCCTGTTGTTTGCTTCTCAATTGCAACAGTTGCTTTTCCTTTAATTAGGCTGTTCATAGCTGTCTTGTCCTTTTTCTGCTCTATCACTCAATGCTCCAGTTAGTTCTCTCTGCTTCATGCCATCTTCTCCCCCAGACTCCCCCCAAAAAAACTGTAGCCTCCAATCAAACATGCCCATGCCAGCAAGAGATAACCTAGCTGGATGACTGAGCATAAAAGAAAGTTTAGCCATGTTCATTGCTTCTAGAATGTTGAGAATCTGACTGAAAAGGAAGGAACGACTTGCAGCATCCAGGTCTTCAATATCTGCTTCCATACAACAACAAAAATGAAAAAAAGCCAGAAGGGATGGGAAAGGGTTGCTCTTTCCAATCTTCCACATCCATATTCTCTTACAAAAATAAATGGTAAGGAAAGGTTCACATCTTCATTCCACAGGTTCATCTGGATG